AAATTAATTATTAAATAAAAAGTGTTGCTCTCTTTTGAGATTTGACTGCCATACCTACTCTGCCTCAGTTTCTCAAGTGCAGGGATTACTACCATGCCTGGCCTCAGCCTGAGTTTCAGCATCAGAGTTGTCAGCTCTTGAGACAGCACATGTTTTCACCCTCAGATGCTTTCCTGATATAAAGTTGTCTGAGACATTAAAGCCTCTGCCTCAGGCCTCACTACTCACTTGCAGTTCATGCTGGGAACTTTGTGATAAGGGAGAGGCAAGATGGTTTTAGCAGGAGGCTGTGTAAAACTGTGTTCTAGAGATTAGCCTCTATATACCTAGCAATCCAGCCTTCAGGGTTCAGTCGTTTTATGAGTTGCAGACTTGATCCAAAGATTTATTTGAGTGTTGGAATCACCCAGAGAGTTAATCAATTTTGATCCCTGAATTTGAGGTTTCCAGACTTTATAGTACACCAGAATCATCAAAGGTCCTGTTAAAACTAGGGTGCTGGGTACCACTGCCAGAGATTTTTTTTTTTCTTTTCTTTTCTTTCTTGTTTTTTTTTTCCCCAAGATAGGGTTTCTCTGTGTAACAGAGCCCTCATTGTCCTGGAACTCGCTTTTTAGACCAGGCTGGCCTCGAAGTCTCAAAGGTCTGCCTGCCTCTGCCTCCTGAGTGCTGGGGTTAGAGGCGTGGGCTGGAGTTTATTTCAGTTAGGCTGGGGGTCGGTCTAAGTGTTTGCACTTCCAGTGAACTCCGTAATATTGAGCACCACCATCTGAGTCCTCCGTGACAATTCGATTCTCTCTTCCTTTCCCTTCCAAGGTGAGTCATACATAGGGTTAAGACACGGAGTTACTTACTATGAGAGTTAACGTTTAAGGGAGAATGATTAGGTGCCTAGAAGCAGCAAGCAGACATCTAGTCTACAAGGAGAAACTGGTGTCAGCACATGTTTTAAGTCTTAAGAAAAAAGATTTTTTTGAGAGAGAGACAAGGATTTCTGCTTGGCCTGCAACTTGTCATATAGCCCAGATTAGACTGTAATTTGCAGCGATAACCCCCTCTCTACCTCCTGCACCCTCCTCTACCTCTCTACCTCCTACATGAGTGTGTCACACTTCCTGGATAAGGATTGCAATCTTCTGGGTTGCACTTCCTCAAACATGTTGCCTTCTTCCTTGAGTTTCCAAGTCACAGTCACATGTTCTATGCACAGATCCTTAGGGGCATTCATTTCTTAGTTCTTAAGAAGTGAACTTGTATTTCAGATTAGAACAGTTACTGAAATGGCCCTTAACATATTTATCCTACTTTGTACTGTTTTCTCAAAGTGGTGTTCTCAGGACTGATGATTGTAAAATCAAAATGTTGATCAAACTGGGCATGGTGGTGCATATTTATAGTCCCACAATTTGAAAGGTGAGGCAGGAGGATCAGAAGTTCAGACCAGCCTAAGTTGCATAGCAAGTTTGAAGACATTCTGGCCACATGCACTTGTAAACAACAACAACAACAAAACCAACCAAACAAAAAACTCAAACCAACACAAAGCAACAAAACAAAACAACAACAAAACAGAATAAATAAATACATATGTAAACAGATAAACTCTGAAAAACAACTCATATGCTCTCATCCTGTAGTATCAACTACCCAGTTAAGATTTATTTCTAATTCCTCAGACAAGCACATCATTTTATTAATATAAAATTTTGTTTTCATTTTTCATAAATGGGTAAACTTGTATGTATGGCAAAGAATTGTTTAAAACACATCTTGTTATGATTTATCATCAGTGAAGGTTTGATTTGCATACCTATTTTACATGACTATCTTTCCAGGGTTATACAGATTTCTTGGGGAAAAGTGCTGCAAAGTAGAAAAAGGTTAAGAAGCCCTGATCTAAAACAAAAACACATATAAAATAAAATTAAATATGAAAGCCAATATAGTGACAAAGCAATGCAAAGTAAGCTGAAATTCATAATTTCAAGGAGCACACACAAGCGCACACTGTTTCATGTGGAAAACACTTTGGGTTGGTTGTTCATAGAGATCCAACTTTATTTTTACAGATGGCTGCACTCACTTGTCCTAAACCATCTGTCGAATAATCTGTCTTTTCCGCACTGATATGTAATGACAGCTATATTTTTAAAACTAGGCTTTCATACAGGATATTTTCCAAATAAGCTCAATCTAGCCCAATGCTCCCTAATATGCATGGCCTTATAGATCTTTGAAGTTCTTTTTCTTTTTCTTTCTTTCTTTTTTTTTTTTCTTAGCCACATCTGGTGACAGTTGTCACCATGGGATACTCCTTAGCATTACGTCATTACAGAGGTGAAACTGCAGAGGAAGATGCTTGACATATTGGTCTCAGGAGTCCTGACGGGCAACACAGTGCTCTGAGGGACTGTGGATATGTTAGGAGGGCTGGGTTGCTCTGTGAATTTAGCTCATTTCTGAACTGAGCATACCCAGTGTACTTAGAGAATTAATAAAGGCTTCGTTCCCAAGAAAGAGTTGTGCCAGTGGGTGTGACTCGGGTGCCTTAATGATCGCCGTCCACTTTACTTCTGATAGCAAAAGAGAGAATTTATTTGAGCTAGTTAGAGGTTTTTTTTTTTGTTAGAATCAACAAGAAAGATGTAGCATACAGTGCTGACCAAAGACAATGACTGCAGAGCAGGAGACCCAGTTTTATCATCCTGATTTGACCTATGCGTGGAAGTTCAGCTTAACTTATGAGGGCCTCAGTTTGCTTCTTCATCTAAAGAAGGTAATTTGGGTGTAAGATATTTCTACTTCTATTTCTACAGAAGACTGTGGCTGTGCAGTAATGTGATTCCTTTGTGTGTTCATATAATACATTTGCTTTTAATGTTTTAAGATAAGAGTCTCACTATGCTGTAGGCTGGTCTGGCCTGGACTTTGCCCTGTAGCCCAGGTTAGCCTATATCTAGCAATCATCATGGTTCAGCTTCCTGGGTGCTAGAAATATGGGCATGGTTACATCATCCCTCACTTGAAAACTTCCTTATGCTGATCTCTGAATATGTGGGAAAAATTCCCCTGGTCAGAGTTGAATGGGACACAGGCATTATTTATGAAGCTTATAAAAGACAGGTGCTTATTTGGAAGAGGGAAGTGCCATGGAACCCTAGTGTGAACCGAAGGTAGAACACGCCAGCCTCCCAATTCCAAGTCGGAATGTGGGCTCTGTGACGTACTGCAACTTGACTGTCCTAATGACTCCTTCTAGGCTGAGATGTGAATTACATTGAATAGTGGTGGCATTTTGTAAATCTTTTTTTCCTGTGATGGCATTTAACCTAGAGTCACTGTAGATTTGTTTTTTTGGAAGACTTCTGCTTATGACTAATTTTTAACAGTTATTATGAAGACATGCTCAAGGAGCATCCTGGAAGCCATATACCAGGCAATTTTTATTTTTGAGACAGGGTTTCTCTGTGTAGCCTTGCCTCTCCTGGACTTGTTTTGTAGACCAGGCTGGCCTCAACCTCACAGTGATCCACCTGCCTCTACCTCCCCAAGTGCTGGGATTACAGGCGTGAGCCACCGCATCTGGCTGCCATAGTGCTTTCATGGTGCCTCACTGATGCCCCTGCTCCTATGGGAAAGTAACACGACTCTTTGATGGTTTCTGTAAACTCTAATCCTAATTTTTGAAAATGAGGCACAAACAACACATGTTTAAAATATTTGAATCAGTGTCGTCACCCTGAATCTCCGACAGCAGGCCAAGAAGTGATGGGACAACAGCTTCGAAAAGGTGAGTTTTGGCTAGTCAGAGTAGAAAACAGACAATACTGACATCCCGTAGGAGGTGAGTGGATAAGTTCCTGAAGGTCAGGACAAAAGGTTAATGGTCTAACTTTGGTACTATACACCTACAGAAGACTGCCAAGCTGGATAAACAACAGGCTGAGAATATAAACATGGTATGGTGAGCTGAGTAGAGCTTGAGATACACTTTCTGGCAAATTGCATTCAAAAGGAGGGCATGATAAGAATGACTCATGATCATATGACGTGAATTTATAGCGCTTAGCCCTCATTGTAGAGGTCACTGCACATAAATCGCTATATTAAACAATCATTTTTTAAAAATACATCAAAAGAAAAATGCCTGCCCACTCAGCTTCTGTCAAGTAAGAAAAGAGAACCAGGCAGATTATGACTAGTTTGACTGTTTCTGGGAGGTGAAAATAAGCAAACAAAATTATGTTTATACCAAGATATAATGATTTGTATCTATGGCGCAATGGTCTCTTGAGATAATGTTCAAGAAGATCACTCAACCTACTTTTTATTATGACAGATAGGTGAGAATCCTAAGCTATCAGGGCAGAATGGTAAGCACAACCCTCAATTCATTGTACAAGTAAGACCAAGAAATAGTTCAATGGTGCTGTTCTTGTTAGGATGAATACAATCAAGCAAATGTGCAGAGTATCTGACCACTGTGCTAAAAGCTTAGGCTTCGGTCTGAGTTCAATGAGAAGAATAATATTCATTGTAGTTTTCTTCTCTACTAGCTATTTTTTTGTCAAGTAAAGTCTATTGAAGGATTTAGGCTACACTTCCTATTCTTGTATCAGAGACCACTACAATTTTTGGGCTGGTTTACACTAAGTAATTCATATTCTCAGCCCCAAACCTCTGTGTTTAAATGGTTTCATGATGCTGTTTATGTACAGGAATGAGCTAAAAAATAATGTCAGTTATATTGGATCTCTAGCATTTAGCATGAGGCATGCATAGAAGACATTCAAAGAAAGTTTGGGGCTGGTGACGAGTCAGTGTTCAGGAGTTCCACATTAAGTCACAATTGGCTTTGTGCTGGAGAACACGTATCATTTGGTGTAATCAGGCACAGATGAGAACAAGAGGTTCTTGTAACAACAACACAGCACCTGATCACCCAGTTGAGACTAAAGAGGACTTCTCTAATCCTAGACTAGAAGGGTAGCTTTGTCCCGATGTCTGTCCATGAGAAAATACCCATGTCAGATTTGATGGAAACCCTCAGGGAGGAGCTCACCTGTTTCATCTGCTTGGACTATTTCAGCAGTCCAGTGACCACCGAGTGTGGGCACAGCTTTTGTCTGATGTGCCTCCTCAAGAGTTGGGAGGAGCACAACACACCCTTATCTTGTCCTGAGTGCTGGAGGACTCTGGGAGCCCCTCATTTCCAAGCCAACAAGAGACTGGGGAGACTGGCTACCATTGGCAAGCAGCTGAGGTCTCAGGTGCTGCAGAGTGAGGACGAGCAGAACAGCTGCGGGAAAACACCGGGAACTAACAGGGTGTTCTCTGATGATGAGCAGAGTCTAATTAACTTCTCGACACAAAGTCACGGGATGAACAGGGTATATTTCTCAAGTGAGGCTGAGGAGCAACACAAAGTAAGTTAGATTGCTCAACAGCAACCTCAGAACACAGAACTGGTCCTATCCCTTAATTCTCATAGAGGTCTCTGTTGGTGACAGCCATTGGCACATTATGTGGCATACTGTGGCATACTCCAGGTGGCATACTGGTGGCGCACTAGCTTGGGTGTTGCCTCCACCCTTTCTTTGGGAGTCTTAGCTTCCAGTGAGTGGTTTTCCTGATCTTTCTGCCACGGGGTATCCTGCTGTTTGCCCAGGGGTTTGTTTATATTGTAGGAAAAACTCCAGGATATCATAAATCTTCTACAAAAAAAGAAGAAGGAAGCTCAGGCCATCTTGAACCATGAGAAGGAGCGAGTGATACTGTGTAAGGTCGGTGTCTGTCTACTGTTTGGTCTTGGGTGTGAGATACTTGGTGGCATGTCAGGGGGAAAGGACAGGTTTTGAGTCCTATCATAGGCAGTTGCCTGCCTCTGTGTGTTCTCCTGGGTATATGACAGTTCAGCTCAGGGTCACTCACCACAGGTAGATTTATGTTTCTTCATTTATGGTCCTTGGATAGCCTCTATGATGGATCTGATTAATATTATTTCAAAAGCATTTGCAAGATAGGATGGAAAGCAGTTTTAAAAATGAGGCTCTCAGATGCTTGGGGAATCATTGCATGCAAATTAAAAGCAAGTAAAAGAGGAAGGGACAATAATGGCAAAGTAGTAGGCTGAATCATACTGGGATAAATGCCTAAGGTTAGTCACAGATTTGGACTTGAATTGCCTAGCAGTGAAAGCAAAGAATTCAACGTTGACTATGGCATAATCAGTGTAGAGGTTAGTACTAGGGAGGAGGCTCACTGGGTAAAAGCACTTGCTATGCAAGCCCGTTGACCTGAGTGTGGCTATCCAGGGCACACATAAATGTCAGAATAACAACCATTTGTCACCTCTTGGGATCCCTACTAGGAGAGGGGAGGCAGAGACATGACAATTCCCAGAAGCTCACCAGCAGGTTAGCCTGGTGTACACAGCAGTGAACAAGAATATCTTGCCTCAAACAAAGTTGAAGGTGAAGATGGATTATAGCTGAAGTTGGCCTATGGTCTGCACGTGTGCATGTGCGTGTGCACACATGCACACACACAGACATACAAACACAAGACACACATGCAGATACACATACACATATCCTTACTTGCTAGTTACATGCTATTGCACTCAAAGTGAATATTTGAGTCTCCCAATAGACTCTGAGAAATTTTGCTTATTTGAGACAAGCTCTCCCTATGTAGCCCAGACTAACCTCAAACTCCTGATTTTTTTTTTTTTTCCTGCCTTTGCTCCCAACTCCTAGAATTTCAGCTGTGGCGTACCACACCACTCTTGGTAGACTTTGAGTTTTTTTGTTGCTGTTGTTTTGTAAGGCAGAATCTTGCTTTATGGTTCTGGCTGGCCACGAACTCACCATGCAGATGAACAAATTGACCTCAAATCTGCATTAATAATCCTGCCTCTGTTTCCTGAGTGCTGGTTTTATAGACATGTACCACCATGCTGGCTTATATCTAGAATAAAGTGCAACTCTTTGTGATGTAGTTCTAGTATGTAATTTGATGCCAATTTGCTTTTAAAAATCAATATTTGTCTAATAATGTATTTTTATATGCATTTTTTCATATTTTTCTCCTTTTAAGTTTTATTTCATTGTCATAATTTTTATTCTTTTAATTTTATATTCAAAAATTTCCTCTTTCCAATTTTATTTTGTGCTGATTACTATGTGTCAAACTTTTAATTCTTTTGTTTCTTTCAGAAAAAAAATGACAGTTCTTTTTTTTTTTTCTTTTTAATCAGGCCTGATTGAAAGCCTAATGTTTTTCTTTTTTTTTTTTTAATTTTCTTTTCTGTTTGTTTGTTTTTGTTTTTTGAGACAGGGTCTCTTTGTGTAGCCTTGGCTTTCCTCTGTCCTGGACTCACTCTCTAGACAAGACCGGCCTCAAACTCAGCCATTCGGCAGTGTCTGCCTCCCTGAGTGCTGGGTTTAAAGATGTGAGCTACCACACCCAACTGAAATGACAGTTCTTAGACTAGAAAATCTGATTTTGTTGATTATTGGGCAATGCACACCTTTACCTTTCAAAACTTTACTCTTTATTGGAATGTTTCTGTTGCTAACATTTGTGTGTGCTCTCGTGCATTTTTGTGCACATGTGATAGCAGGAGGAGACAAAGACTTGTAAGCAGGTCGTTGTGTTTGAATATATGAAGATGCACCAGTTCCTGAAGGAAGAGGAGCAGCTACAGCTTCAGCTCCTGGAGAAGGAGGAAAAAGAGAACATGAAGAAGCTGCGGACAAACGAGATCCACCTGACCCAGCAAGTCCGGCGCCTCAGCAAAATGATTGGGAGGATTGAGTCCACCTGCCAAAACTTGACTTTGGATTCTTTTGAGGTGAGGTAAAACTCAGGAGGATGTTGGGAAAATTGGGTGAGAAAAGAAAATGCAGATTGGCGCATAGTATTTCAAGCCATAAGAAGTATGTTTTTCTGTACTCATCTGAAAAGTTAAGCTCTGCCTTAAAAGTAATTTTCCTAAGGAACTGACATTCTGGGTCTTAAAAATTCTTGAAAAGGAGGAGAAATCAAACAAGAAGAAAAACAAAACAAAACAAAAAAACTTTTCACAAACAAGCCCAGGCTTGACTGTACCTTCTGGACCTGCCTCTGCAAACTCAGCTTTGTCTAGTAATTTATAATTTATTTGTAAGCTACTGGGCATGGTAAATTTAATCTTTTCAAGGTTCTGACAAGGGCAAGTACTAGCATTATGTACCCTACAGGTGATCATCAGCTCCAAAATGGACTCAGGCTTGCAAATATTGGATAATCAGATTCAAGGCAGGAAAGGAGATCTGCTTGTCCTACAGTTAAGAGGTCCCAGAACCCAGATGTTTTGTGTACCAAGCCCACTGTTTTGCCTACTGCCTCCTTAGGCTACTCTATTCATTGGCATCGTCTCAGTCATAAGTGGGTTCCATAGTAATGGGAAGAGGGACTGTCTCTGACATGAACTGATTGGCCTGCTCTTTGATTACCTCCCCCTGAGGGGGAAGCAGCATTACCAGGTCACAGAGGAAAACAATGCAGCCAGTCCTGATGAGACCTGATAGACTAGGATCAGAAGGAAGGAAAGGAAGACCTCCCCTATCAGTGGACTGGGGGAGGTGCATGCATGGAGGAGGGGGAAGAAGGATGGGATCAGGAGGGGAGCAGGGAGAGAACTGTGGGGGGGGATACAAAGTGAATAAAATATAATTGATAAAAATTAAAAAAAAATAAAGACTGGGACCAACTTCAGCTTCAGGTCTCATTCATTACCAGACTCTACAGAGTGCAGTCTGACTTTGTGTCTTCTGAATAAATAATTAACATCAAGAAAATGTAAGAGCGCCTTGGTCTTAGCTCCCACTGGGTCATTTTTCTTTACTCATCTCTGGTTCTCTGGAGCATGAGGTTAATAGTTGGTTTCATTCTCAACAAAGGAAGGGGACTTAGGAATCCCCCATATTCTCTCAGCATTTCTAGACAAGTAATGGTTGTTGGGACTGGGTTGTGTTTTTTTTTTTTTTTTTTTCAGTGATACAGCCAGTGGTAAACTGCTCATGTTCTATAAATTAACCCTTACCATACCCTCATAGCCCCATAAATAGCCCTAACTAAACACATTGGGTCATCAAACAAACAAACAAACAAACAAACAAGTCATATGAGTAGAATTGTGGACATGTTGGGAAGAGGAAGGGGATGAATAAGAATGGGAAAGAGAACAGGATCAAAATTGTGTGCATATATGGCACATCAAAATACATTATTTACAAATATGAATACAGCAAAATACATGACGTACATGTATGAAAATGCCAGGATGAAGCCCATTATTATGCATAATAAATATATGCTAAAACACATTAAAAAAAAGACTTCTGCAGAGCCAGCAAGCAATTGCTTAGTGGGTAAAGGTGATTGCTATCAAGATTAACCATGTGAATTCGGTTCCTGGTTGGGACCCATGTAGTATAAGAGAACAAAGTCCTCTTAGTTGTCCTCTCACCTTATGTTCATGTTGTGGCATTCCTTGCTACCTACAAAGAGGATGTTAATTTTTTAAAATTAAAATCATGGATGTGAAAAAAAAGCCAAACAATTATCTAGTCAGTGTGAGAAATGTTTATGTTCATCAAAAAACATCCTTAGCAGAAGCTGGATTTTTTGTTTACTCTCCTTGTCCTATCTGTTATAACCTTTCAGGGTATAACAGGTGTGCTAGGACCATGGAAGTTAGAGTCCGTGAAACTAGCAAGAGAGTGTGATGAAAATGGCTTCAGTATTTGATCGTGATAGAGATGAACAGATAGTAACCGTCTTTTCTTTCTATCCCTAGGAAGTCAGAGGAGCCATGGATCGGTAGGTTTCCATCAGGTCTCCATTGTGTAGCCTCTGGAGATCTAGTGCTGATAAAACAGTGATGGAGTGGGATGAACATGTGGATGTAGTTTTTCGGGGGGGTGGGGATGCTATGGATTGCCAGGTTGGTCCAGGTTGGATGGCACGTGTCACTGAACAAGTGAGCCTCCCTTTTCTCTTGGAAGGTGTGAATCCTTGCTGCTTCAGTGTCCGGAGACCACCATCACAGAACTGAGCCTGTGCCGCATCACAGGGATGAGGGAGATGCTGAGAAAATTCAGCAGTAAGTCCACCTCCTTGTCCCATCTCAAGGGATTTCCACAGTTAAGTTCAGCACATGCTATGAGCACCACTGAGCAACCGGGCAGCTCCTTCTGCCATAATCATTTCTCCCAGTTACAGTATCCTGAGCAGGTGCTAAGGGCCAAGTTGCAAACACTGGCTATGCTGGGGCCAAGAGGCAAGGGTCCTTGTTTGATGTTCCTCCAGGCTCTGCGGGTTCTCAAAAGGTCCCTGTCCTGCCTTTGTCACCTTGTTCTGTGGTATGAACACGCCATACCCACCACGCACAATAACCCCCTTGCAGAGGATCCTGCCTTGCCGGCTCTCTTCCTGTTAGGCTGAAAGCTGGGTTAAATTCTTCTCTTTTAATTCTTTTGTTTTAACCTTCATGTGTATGGGGTAGTGAGGGTGATGGTGGTGTGGGTGTGTACATGAGTGTGAGTGTTGATGTGTATGTCGCAGTCAATCCGTACGGAGGTCAGGGGACAACCTTGGGTGGTAGTCTCTGACTGCTTTGCAGCAGATTTCTGTCATACCTCTATTTGTCATGCCCGGATGCTTTGGGAATACATTTGAAGAGAAACTGGCTAAATTGATGGGAACCGTATACCATGAGATCCCATCTTAAAACAAAAACAAACAAACAAAAGAACAGATCAGAATATCTGAGCTTATTTCTTTACTGTCTTGTGGAACGGAGAGTGAAGCAATGAGACAGAATAGAGTCAGTGCAGAGGAGTCACATGCAGAGATTTTGTATATCTATGAGGGTGAGAGGAGACCGTGGGTATAACATATGTGGGGGTATGTATAGCCTGATGTATGTTGAGGTGCAGGGGGTCCCGACCATTCCTAGGTGCATTGATGGGAGAGGGGCGTGTACACATAGTGCATGCAGATAAAGGAACCAGAATGTCAAGTGCATTATTACGAGAGGGTGTGTATAGTTTCAATAACTTAAAACCAAATGGGGTCCCAACCTGAACTACGTATGCGTGCCTGCCTCAAGGGGGCAAATTATTTCATCCGGAGTCAATGAAAGTTTGAGGCCTCTCTTATGTCCTCCTCAAAGGTGGGTGGTTAGGAAGGCCTGCCAGTAGCTCACATGTGTTTTCATATTGTTCTGGGGTGCTAACTCATGCAAAACTGCATTTGACCATGGCATAGCAAAAAGCACGAATTAAGAATTTTGCTATCAGGGGGCTGGAGAGACGGCTTAGCTCTTGGAGAGGTCTTGAGTATAATTCCCAGCAACCACACAATGGCTCACAACCCTTTTTTACAGAGATCTGATGCCCTCTTCTGGCAGGCAGGTGTACATGCAGATAGAGCACTCCGCTACTTAAAAAAAAAAGAATCTTTAAAAAAAGAGTTTGCTATTATAATACTCTATGATTTTATAACCTTAGTAAAATTAATCTTTGTGAATTTCATTTTTCTTTAAAATTTATTTTGGTTTATTTGTTTGTATTTATTAAACAAGGTCTTATGTACCCCAGGCTAGCCCAGAATTCTCTACATAGGATCTGATCCTCTGATCTTCCTACCTTCACTTCCTACATGCTATAACTACAAATTTGTGTGACCACACCAGTTCTCTTTTGTTTTCTGTGTTGGAGACTGAAGCCAGGGCTTTATGCATGTCAGGCAGGCATTCTACCAACATTGTAATACCTCCAACTTTTCTTCCATTTTTTTTATTGAAAAATATTCACTATTAACTATATGTGTGTGTGTGCCTGTGTGTGAGTGTACATGAATTTGGGTGTCTCAAAAGGCCAGAGGTGTCAGATCCCCTGGAGACGGTTGTGAGCTGTCAAACACGAGGGCTGGGAATCTAACTCAGGTCCTCTGGAAGAACACCATGTACTTTAACTATGGAGCCTCCTTTCTATCCCTTGTTATTATTATTGCATTTAATATGAGATCATTATGAGTGCAACAAAGATTAATGCATAGGAACAACACGAATGCATAGGAAATGATTTGCACTTAGAAGTGCAACCAATGTCAGTTACTTGTCTCTTTCTGTCCAAGCTGCAGAAATCCTGCCATGGCAAACAGCAAGGGTGTCCTTGTGTAGACAGATAACTTGAATTCTAAAACTGTCTTGTCTAGAAAACAACTTTTGTTACACCTACAGTTTCCTCTGACCCTCGTTGATGTGTAAATTCTCACTGCACATGGCTCTATTCTGTCTCTTCTTATAGCTTCAGTGTCTGTCCTATGGGTCGGTAAAAATGAACTCAGAGATTCTGGTCTATGTTTTGTTTGTTCATTTATTCCAGGGTCTCATTATATAGCCCAGGCTGGTCTTAAACTCATGGTAACCTTCCTGCCTAAGATTTCTAAGTATTGGAATTACTGACGTAGGATGCCAAGTCCAGCCAGACGTGGACATTTTCTATTATAGAAGGCTATCTTATCAAATGCCCTGAAATTACATTTAAAACCCTTTTTGTTTTGAAACAGGGCCTTACACTATAAACGAGGCTAGTTTTAAATTCACCACATAAACCGTTTGGCCTCAACATTTGTTTTGAAACCAGATAGTGTGTGTAGCCCAGGTTAGCCTTCTGCTCACCATGTAGCCCAGTCTTGCTTTGAACACTTACTATCTTGCCTTATTTAGTCTTACCGGTGCTAGAATTGCTTGCCTTGCTAACATCTAAGTTACACTTAAAGACTAGGCCCAGCTGGGCTTGGTAGTCATGCTTAAATCCCAGCATGGAAGAGGCTAACGTAAGAGAGAACTAACAAGTTCAAGGACAAGCCTGGGATACTTGGTTTGATCCTGTCTCAAAAACAAATAAACAAATAACAATAGGACTAGCTACTAAGAGTTTAGCTTAAAATTAATATATATGGGAGATTTCGAAGGATGTAAAAAGATTCATTCTTCTCTCTTTTTGTAGCAGATATAACTCTAGATCCAGCCACAGCCAATGCCTTCCTAGTTTTGTCTGATGATCTGAAGAGTGTGAGATATGGAGGAACCAGACAGCAATTACCTGACAACCCAGAAAGATTTGATCAGTCTGCCACTGTGTTGGGAGCCCAGATCTTCACCTGCGGGAGACACTACTGGGAGGTGGAAGTGGGAAAGAAGACTGAGTGGGAAGTGGGCATCTGCAAGGACTCTGTGAACAGGAAGGGGAATCTGCCCAAACCTCCTGGGGACCTCTTCTCACTGATAGGCTTAAAAATTGGTGATGATTACAGTCTCTGGGTGTCGTCGCCCTTGAAAGGTCAGCACGTCCGAGAGCCAGTGCATAAGGTTGGTGTGTTCTTGGACTATGAATCTGGACACATAGCATTTTACAATGTGACAGACGAGTCCCTCATCTACAGCTTCCCATCGACCTCCTTCCAAGAACCTCTCAGACCTATCTTCTCCCCTTGTCTTCCAAATGAAGGGACAAATACAGACCCACTTATCATCTGCCAAATGTGAGGGACATGCCCAGAGCCATCAACCAAAGACAAGGTCAAGGACCAACCTAGTCACTTAGTGCATTCAAAGCCATCACACATCGGATTATCTGAAAGAAAAAAAAAAATCCTTCCATCACAACAACTTTCTACAAACCCAGTTCTGCAAAGAGTCAATTAAAAGTGGATTCAACACCAAGAATATAGAACTGATACCCTGCCTTCGACCCAGTTAATTATCTGAGTTACCCTGTGTGTGCTGGCCACTCAACATACAACACTTCTACTGTTCTCTACCTGTGAATCTGTCATAGGCCAGTTTTATAAATACATGTCATTTTTTTCAGTCTGCTTATTTGCTTTTCTCGTTCTATGCAGCTTGTGTTCTTATCTAATATGTATCTAATATGTATATGTATAGATGTGTGGCCACCTCATGACTTCCTCCATCTACAGTGGGTAATAGAGACTTAGAACTCTACCTCCACTGGAAAGCTACTTTTCCATGAGGCCTGAAGTACTTGTCCTCAGAAAGGCGTATAGATTCAGGGTGCTGTTAATATTTGTTATCATCATCAGACCATTCGTGTGACTATGATCTTAAGAGCCAAGTACTTTCTATAATTTATTGCAGCTAAAGATCTGGTCAATAAATGTATCAAGGGAATGGGTGCCAAGTGGTTTGGATTTCAGTTGAGGGTGTTGGCTATTCTTCTGATACTTGCTGAGAGTGGAAGCCTTTTCATTCCTGGAAGGTGGATGCTAGCCTTTCTCATCTAGGAATGCCACGGTGTAGAAGGATATGGGAGTAGCGTCCAGGTGGAACTCCTTTGGATCTCACATCACCTGCTGGGGGAGTTAAATCTGCAGACATGCATTTTATTTTTGCAGTTTTCCCCATTAAGTTTTTTCTATCCCTATTTTTTAAAAACAGAAATCTTAAAGAGTGTCACCAATCATAGTGTTACTGCAAAGAATTGGATTCATCAAAAAGTATATCAGTTCTCAGAGTCTGACTTGTTCTTCTGAAACATAGGAAGTATCTACCTGGTGTGTGGATTTTGTGAGAAGACAGAGTCTTCATAGGAGATGATACATTTTGTTGGTTCTCCTCTGCCCTTCAAATGACCTACAAAAATTCTTCAGAAAGAGGCCAGTAAAAGCACAGGGCATGTGTGGAATATGGAAAACGTGGGCATCAAACATTTAGAATATATACAAGTAGGAAAAATGGTAATATAAAAGCTAGTTAGAGAGAGAAAGAAAAAAAACAGCTTGTGAGTTAGCTTTCATATTTCACAGAAGTCCTTTTGACCAAGCAGGGAGAGTGGCACACATCTGCATTCCCAGCACTTGGAAAGTGTGAAAGAAGGAAGGGAGGGAAAGAAGGAGGGAGGGAGGAAGAGAGAGAGGGAGGGAAATGATTTAGGAAGTCCTGTTATATGTTTTTATTGGCTTCCAATATAATGTGAGGTTTAATGAGGCCTAAAGCTTATGCAAGTGAAAGAAGTCATTTAAAAGATGAACAATATTAATAAAATTACAAATGACACAATAGGATCAGAATCTTAAGATCTCAAGCAAATGAATGGCCTGACACTTAGATTTCACTACCTTCGTGGTACATTTGTTTCTGCTTAGCCATGTGCGAAAATGGAGTACAGAGGCTGGGAAATAAGCATCTGAGGCTCAAGCTTGTGTCTCTACCTACTCTGAAACACTCTGAGCTAGTTACTTTTTCTCTTTGCCTTTTTCAGGACAGTTGTTTTCTCTGTGTACTTTTGACTGTCCTGGATTCACTTTGTAGACCAGGCTAGCCTCAAACTCACATTGATCCTCATGCCTCTGCCTCCCCACGTTTTGGGATTAAAGGTGTGTGCTCAGTATTGAGCCAGTTTCATTTCACTGTTTTGTTTCTTTTCCTTCCTTCCAACTCCAAGCTTCCTTCCTTTTTCTTTCTCTCTCTCTCTCTCTTTCTTTCTTTCTTTCTTTCTTTCTTTCTTTCTTTCTTTCTTCTTTCCTTTCTTTCTTTCTCTCTCTTTATCTTTCTCTTTCTTTCTTTCTTTCTTTCTTTCTTTCTTTCTTTCTTTCTTTCTTTCTTTCTTTCTTTCTTTCTTTCTTTCATCTTTCAATCCTTCCTTCCTTCCTTCTTCCTTCCTTCCTTTTTCTTTCTTTTTTATTTCAAAACAGGGTTTCTTGGTTTCTTTGTGTGGCCTTGGCTGTCTTAGACTCACTTTGTAGACCAGGCTGGCCTCAAACTTGTAGAAACCCTTCTGCATCTGCCTCCCGGAGTGTCAGGATTACTGGTGTTCTCCTCAGCACCCAGCTCTGAGCTAGTTTCTTAATCTCCCCATGCCTCAGTCTTTTCAGTAAAATGAGGTAAAAATGTTTGCCTCAAAGGCACATATCAATTGACTGCCCCTGCCCAGAGAACATCACCTCCTTTAAATCTGCATCCTTCTTGACTCTGCTTTAAGAGTCACACCAGCCAGATTGCCACCCGTCTGTCACAGTGCTGACAACAGAATCTCAGTTTCATTGATTGCCTGCCTAGATTCTTACTCCTTCCCCTACACTTCTCATACTGCTCCAGCCTGGAAACCCTTCCTGGGCTACAGACCAGATCATGGCATTTGCTAACTCATTGTCTGGAGCTCATAATTCTAATTTTAAAATTGTTTTTCTTGTTTGCAGACATAATCACATCCTGTAGCCCAGACTGATTTAGAACTCAAGATGTAGCGCAGGATGGCCTTTGTGGATGATTCTCTCCCTCAGCTTCCTAGTGTTGAGAATGCGTGCATGAGTTACCACATGAGGCCTAACTCTAATTCTTCCTTCTTATATATAAGGAATTTTTGTGGAAAATTATTGAGCATCTTAGTTGTTGCTTTTCATCTTACATATTCATTCTTTTCCTTCCAGTTCAAAGAATGTGATCATAATGTTCAAAGCTGCTGTTTTGTGTTTTGATTCACAGGTCTTAGTTTAAAGGGAGAGACTCCTGGACCTACCAAGAATTGTAAGGTTTCATTTTGGCCTCGCTTCCCTTTCCCCCTCCGTCTCACTAAAAAGTTCCCCCTTATGCTTTCAGGATACCTTTTCCCAAAATGTCTCATTTCCATGCTCTCCCTCAGTATGGAAAAATCAATGCTGTGTACTCTGGAGAGACAAGATTCTGAGTAGTGCAATAATCACGCATGTGCGTGTGTGTTTTGGCAGTATGCACACGTATAATGAGGGGGTCTGTTATAGGGAGAACGCTTAAGGGGGCCAGTCTGGTTTCTTTCTCACTTCCTCTCCTTGTCCCATCAGTTTGTGTCCCTCCCCTTCCAGTTCCCACTCCTCTTGTCTGAACCTTCCCTGTCTTCCTAGGCTTAGTTGCTGGTTTCTCAAACCTGTTTACAGAGAAAAGGATCTTATTTGGATTTTCCAGGGTTCTTTGTTTCTGACACTCCTGGAAGCTACTTTCCTTGGAATAAACTGTCAGAGAGAAGAGCTTCAGAAAAAAAAAAAAAAAAACACACAGGGAAGGATCAGACTGATGGTTTAAGATTTTATCCCAACCCAAGTCCTTTTTCCTCCAGAGAAAAGCAGGAGAGCCTCCTGACTAATCTAGAGGGATTCACGTCACTCTTCCAGCTATGCTGCTTATTTTAATAATGAGTTCTCTTAAATTAATGAACACCATCAAAAGCCAGTGTTAAGCAGTGTAAATACCAAGAGCCACATAGCACACTATGTCTTAAAAGTTGAAATTGTTTTGTTCCCTTGAGTTTGGGACTCTGGAGCTAGCACTATATGAGTTCTTCTGAATAGATCTGAAGAACTGCTAGGCTTAGTTAAATTTTTATGAGGTATTTTAAAGAGCAATTGTGAAATGTGCTGTCTCCTCAGAGGTGTTGGGAATGCTCTGTTTGTATCTGGCACAGCTTGCATCTATTGTTGAGGCTATGAAAATGCAATGGGCTGGAAATTTATATGTTCAATTTCTGTATGTAAATTGTACTTTAGTAAAAAAAAATTCAAAGGAAAAAAACACGGCTGTCTTTCATCATAGTTTAGGTTGCTGTGAAACATACTGAGAGGGAGTGTAGCAGGCAGGTCATTTATTATTTATTTATTTTTTTAAAAGAGGGGCGTGAAGACCATGCTTTTTGAAATCCAGGAGAGATTTTTAGCAAGATTAAGTGGAAGGGGAAAATCTACAGACATACAGGGGGAAATCCTCACCAACACATAGGCAGTGCCACAGAGCTAAAATGTCCCTTTCCAGTGGTTCTCAACCTTCTTTTAATGTACAGTTCCTCATGTTGTGGTGACCCTCTAATCATAAAATTATTTTTGCTGCTACTTTGTAACTGTAATTTTGCCACTGTTATAAAGCATGCTATAAATATTTGTGTTTTCCAACGGTTTAGGATACCCCTGTGAAAGGATTGTTCAACCCCCGAGGGTGGTGACTCAGGCTGAGAGCCTCTGCTAGACTAAGGTCATTTGGAATTGAACTGGGTTGTTTGTTTTTTTTTTTTTAATTTTATTTATTATAATTTATTCACGTTGTATCACAGCTGTAGCCCCTCCCTCATCCCCTCTCAATCCCACCCTCTCTCTTCCTTCTCCTCCCATGCCCCTTTCCCAGTCCACTGATAGGGCAGGTCCTCCTCCCCTTCTATCTGATCCTAGCCTATCAGGTCTAATAAGGACTGGATGCATTGTCCTCCTCTGTGGCCTGGTAAGGCTTGCACACCCCTCAGGGGGAGATGATCAAAGAACTAGCCACTGAGTTCATGTTAGAGACAGTCCCTGTTCCCATTACTAGGGAACCTATTTGGAGACTAAACTGTCATGGGCTACATCTGTGCAGGGGTTCTAGGTTATCTTCATGCATGGTCCTTGGTTGGAGTATCAGTCTCAGAAAAGACCCCTGGGCCCAGATTTTTTTGGTTCTGTTGCTCTTCTTGTAGAGCTCCAGTCCCCTCCAGGTCTTTCTATCTCCCTCTTCTTTCATAAGATTCCTTG